TGATTTCCTATATGGCTTCCTTGAGGTCTTCGTTTTCATTGCCTACTCTCAATAGAAAAATTTTAGTTTGATTTTTGAGACTATGACAATTCATCTTTTGTCTCTTCATACTGAAATTGTTATCTTTAAAACATCATCCAGGGCTCCTCAAAGAAAGGAGGAGAATATTGGCTTGTATGGCGATTCGAGGGGAAGGCCACACTTTCGGATTTGATGCAGAGCAAAGAGTTTCCCTACAATGTACCTGCTTTCTCTGATCATCTTTTCTCAGACAATTCTGCCCTCTTCTGTAACTTTGTTTATATAGTTCTGTAGGTGGATGGTTAGATTATTAGGCCATTTGAAATAACCTTTGAATGTTAACTGCTTCTCTCGTTAATGACCGCCTTATGGATCATCACTTTATCGAACTTCACTTTAGCCTTTCAATGGCTAACTCTATTTGTTTAATATCAGGTAGAAACAATGATACTTGGGGAGGTCCAGAACTTGCCCAAGGGCTTGGCAAGGGAAAATCAAATCATCCTAACTATCATGAGACAGATCTTATTTGCCTTGGATGGTCTTCATTCAACAGGAATTGTGCACAGGGATATTAAGCCCCAGAACATCATCTTCTCAGAAGGTAAGCTTTACTTACTCGGATAAAATTTTCGAATTCAAAAATTCCTAGATTAATTATTTTTCTGTTTCAAAACTCGAGTAGGCTCTCGTACGTTCAAAATCATCGATCTTGGAGCTGCGGCAGATTTGAGAGTGGGCATCAACTACATTCCAAAGGAATTTCTTTTGGATCCAAGGTAATTTCATATCTATAAGAAACTTGGATATTTGATTGTGGACTGATGTTTAATTGTGACAAGTATTATCAAAATTGGTTATCATTGTCATCCATGGCTGTTAGGGCTTTAAAGAGAGAATAGGCTTTGATCCACGACATGCATAACCATCACTTGCCTGAAGAACTGAAGAATTCGTTTAGCCTTTGCATTCATTTCATGATATGTGCATACATATCAAACAATATGATATTGCAGCACTGTCAGATCATGGACCTTAATTAAGGAGATACATCATTGATTTTAACAGCACAAGAACTTCACTAAGTTTGATCGAGTATCAAAAAATTTCAAGCTCAAAAGTTAACAGAAATACTCCTATAATTTAGCTTTTGCATAGAAAGATCAACTGACACCAATTATCCATATTACTTGGTTCTAAAGTAATGGCGATCTAACAAAGAAGCAGAAATTAAGGGCAGAGTAGGTGTCATAAGGGTGGTGGGGGAAAGGGTTCTTTTATGGTTTTGCATTTGAAATGAGTGAACTGCAACAAATTTCTTAGATATGCTGCGCCGGAGCAATATATCATGAGTACACAAACTCCTTCTGCACCCTCTGCGCCAGTGGCAACTGCACTTTCCCCTGTTCTATGGCAGGTTTGTTCCCCAGTAGATTCTCCCATGTTTGTTATTACTGTCTGCTTTCATCTACACAGAATTTTGTTGTTATCTGCTAACAGATGAATCTGCCCGATCGGTTCGATATCTATAGTGCTGGTCTCATTTTCCTTCAAATGGTGAGTGTAGGATAATGCTGAAGTCATCTTTACTATTGTGTTTTTTTCTTGAAGACCTTTCAATGTTAATGCTAAACCGATGCTGAAAGCAGATATAGAGGTTAATACCATCCAAACTGTTTTCTTCTAACAGGCATTTCCATCGTTAAGGACAGATAGTGCATTGATTCAATTCAACCGTCAGCTAAAGAGGTGTGATTATGACTTGGTTGCATGGAGGAATACCGTCGAGCCTCGTGCAAGCCCTGACCTCCGGAAGGGCTTTGAGCTACTGGATTTAGATAATGGGATATGTTGGGAACTTCTTACATCGATGGTTCGCTACAAAGCAAGGCAAAGAATTAGTGCAAAAGCAGCATTGGCTCACCCTTACTTCGACAGAGAAGGACTACTAGCTTTATCATCCGTACAGAATCTGAAGCTACAAGTCTTCAGGGCTACACAGCAAGATTATGGGGAAGCTGCCAAGTGGATAATCAATTTAATGGCGAAATCTGGAACAGAGAAAGAGGGTGGTTTCACAGAAGCACAGCTTCAGGAGCTCAGAGTCTGTATCGAACTTAGTCGATTAAAAGTGCATTTTTTGCAACCATCATTAACTGGATAACCTTCATCGGAGTTCTCATTGTGTAGGATATACAGCCTAAGAAGAAGGTGAGTCCACAGAGAAATGCTCTTGCTTCAGCTCTTAGACTCCAGAGGAAGATTGTTCGAACATTGAACGAGAGCATGGACGAGCTTAGCAGACGCAGTAAAAGCCTATGGTGGAGCAGGTGGATCCCCAAAGAGGAATAGAGTTTGTACATCTATCTACACACACAAATATATCCGAGTTTGTATATGTTTGATGATCAGGAATTTAGCTGGAATACTATAGGAATCTTTTGCATGCACGTGTAAGGGCATTTGTGAATGATAAATTTAGTTGGAAGTATATATGTGTAGTTCTGAATTAACTGAAACTGCTATGAAGCTAGCTGTGCCCTATGCATAATATTCTGAAGATTTGATTGCTTAATATGCACATTGAGCAGATAAAAGAAACCACATCCGTACATGATTAGTAGATTACTAGAAGAACTCTCATGCAAACTTCTTCCTAATTAAGCAAAGTCGGGCATAATTTATTTACTCATCATGTGTAAGCAAATAGGCAACTCCAGCTGTAGCTGAAGGAGAATTGGAAACCATTAGCCATTTGATAGATTCTTCGTCCATCGTTAAAAACCATTTACATTAGAGTTTCGTGATCCGAATTTCGTTTTAATTCGTATAATATGATGATATATACGCATGATATAATATAGTAATGGGTGAGAGGGAAAATAAGTAAATCAATAATGTTGAAGCCAATGGAGGCAATGCCATTTGCAGATCACGACAACTTCACGTGCAACTCTGACCTCCTTGTTCAGTACAACACAACCAAAGGCATTTTATAATTGTGAATTAATGCTGTCGCAGCTGTTGGCAATGCCGACGTAAAGTCACCACTTTATCGATCCGAACCCTGTTTAAAACGCCGTGCGTCCCACACATTAATTTATGTAAACCCTGTCTCTAATCTTAGTTTAATCCCCAAAGCTTTGGGTGCCTAAACAGTCCATATTAATTTATAATAACCATTTTGATCATCTTTCGGGACACAACCTCTGAATTTGACCACAGAGAAAACAACCCTTTATTGGAACCAACTACAGCTTTAAACACAAATGAATTGTATATGAAATTTGGCCATGCACGCCTACAAAGGGAATACAGATCATATAAAGAATTGAATCAGATAGATCAAAACCTTAAAAATAATATTATCGAAGGAGAAAACTACGAATTTTGAAAAATTAATATTCATAGATCATAAAACGTAGATTATTATAATATTTAAAGGACAGCATGCAGAAGTAGAAATGGCATCTTAAAGTGTGGCTCAGAAAAAGAAGGGAGAGAGCTCTTAAACCGATAATGACAGCTTAAAAATCTTAAAGTGATTTGTTAATTAGCAAGGGCTAATGGAAGTTGACGTCTTGAACTGAAATGGGAGGAACACGAGACCAAGCAAGTGGTTCCTTAAATTAATCAGAGCTTTGCTTTTAGATGTTAAGTAAAAAAAAAAGGTTTTTTAATCAATCACTTAATTGGGTTTTGATCTCTTACCTTGCTTATTATTTTAGCACCACAAGGGAATCTATGGTCGGTCATATATAACCTTGAGTCTTGAGTTTTTCTTCTTCCATGTGGGGTGGGGTTACAGGTAATTATAGGAGGTTTTTGTTGAATTTTGATCATCAAACTTCTGGTTTCTGATAGATATTCCCAGCTGTCAAACACTTCACCAGGATGAGATGAACTGAATTCCACCTCTACTACCAAATCTATAAACAATTACGTTAATGTCGGTGCAGTGGGATCTTTCTTCTTATTTGGTCTGCTGCCAACTTTAACATATTTACATACACTGATATCTACTTTCTCGTAATATACAACAAGCAATCTAATCCATTTATATATATTTACCTAAAAAAATCATGTTCTAATTTTTATATCTTTTATCATTAGAAACGATAATAATTCTAAATGTACTGTTAATCAACTAACAATGCAATTAATCATGTCCCTACATATACAGATGATCTTAAATTAGAATCAAGAAGCTAAGGTGTGCTCACTATCAAACGTCAAGTCTTTAATATTAATGCATGTATTAAACAAGCGAGTGGACGTTAATTAATATGAATTATCATGTAGGATTCAACTACCTTTTTTAAAAAGAGTAGTTGGTCCCAACAGGAAATGAGGAAGACAGCAATATGGTCTCCTCATCAGCTATGGATAATCTCCTCGTCATCCACGAACTGGGAGAGGAGAGGACAATACCATAAATTATTATGAACAAAGACAAACTTGCTATCTTATTCAAAATTATGGCCGACCCACTGTGCTGCTGGCTCATACCTACAACACCATGGATATAGATAGACTATGACTTGGCAATGAAAACGAGAGAGACAAGTAGGGATATATCAGGCTGATTGACTGGAACGATCATCTTGATTATAGGGAATATATATTTATACTTTTTTTACTTAGATCCAAAATTTTAAAAAGAATATTGATCTCTTTAATCATTAAAATTATTTAATATAAAATTTTACGTTCGTTATTATAAATAAAATAATTAAAGATATAAAATGGAGTGGATGGATTCCCAAAGTGAGAGGGGGACCGGTGGGGTCGGAGAGGAATTGTCGGGTGGGTTAGAGGGCAGTGCACGTTGGCCTTTGGTGCCCATCGCTGGGACTTTATTAGACCAATGTTGCCGGCAGGACCACACCCACCGCCCCCTCTTTCCTCCCTATAAGAAGCCCCACATCTCCATCTCCTCCTTCACTTCACTTCTTCATTTTCCATCTTCATTTCATATTTAATCATCAAAAGGAACAAAGATGAAGATGAGCAGTGCCACCATGGGATCCTCTAAGAGAAGGCTATCATCAAGCAGAGGCCTTGGAGGTGTTCTCCGAGAGCAAAGGGCTAAGCTTTATATTATACGAAGATGCGTTGTTATGCTCCTTTGCTGGCATGATTGAACCCCCGCTCCTTCTACCTACTAGCCATGGAGGATTTGGGGTTTTTTCCCTCTCTTTCTTTCTTCTTATGCTTCTTGTTTTGGTGGGGGTGTAAATACCGGCGGCGGTCGGCAGATGTTATCGGAGAGTTAAAAAAAGGAACAATTTTTGTATGCATTGGCCTAAATATAATTAGATAGCTTGAACCAAAATCCTTAATATTACCTTTTTAGCAAAATTCTTCTTCTTTTTTTACATGTGCTGGTTTCTGTGGCATGAATCAAAATCAACATAACATCATGAGTGCTTCTATATTCCAACAATTTCTCTTTGAATTACAGTTTTGATGGGGTCAAAGCAACTGATCATTTTTCATTTGGATTAAGTGAAATAGAAGTGGAGAGACTCGTAAGCTTTCAGTCACTACAATAACTGATTTCATTGTTATCGTAATTTTCATTTCAACGTCGATCCAAATATACTCTAATTCATTGTCATCGAACATATACTATCTTATATCACCTCATACTGATAAAAATTAAAGAAAATAAAGCTATTGGATAAGCAACTAAAAGTGGTTAAGAGATAAACAAATATCATAGGTGTTCATGATCCTCATGATTCATGGCCGCATAAGATGAAAATGATGGCAGAGTGGCCATTGCAAACTAGTTTAATTGTCCAGTTCTTTTTCCCAAAAACCAGGCTCTAGATTTGATCATATTTTATTAATACTAGCATTAGACAACTAGGTCATGCCCAGGGAAGGAGCTCCCTTAGGGTGAGTTTGGTTGGAGAAATATGAGATTCTCATGGGAATAGAATCCATATTCTCCCGTTTGGTTGGTCGGTTCCCGGTAATCTTATATTACCAATAGTGAATTTTTTGAGATATATTACCGGGAATGTCATTACCTCAATTTCTTTAGGTATTGTTGGATTACCGACGTTTTGGACTAAAATGCCTCTAAATTTTTTTCTTCAAAAATATATTTATTCTGTCATTTAATAATAAAATTCTACGAAAGTTAAATTACAAATTTATTCTTAAACTATTTTAGATTTATAAAAAAAAATCTATAATTAAAATTTTATATGAAGTTTAGGAGTTAAAATAAAAATTTACCCTTAGATTAAACCTTTTTATATTTTCAATTTTGTAAAAAAATATATATACATTTTATGAATTTAAATTTTTTAAAGAAAATATATAAATATTTTTCAACTTGTTAAAAAAACAAATATATAATAAGGGTAATTTGGTCAAATATACATTCTAATAATCTTTTATTCCTTTAACCAAACACGATAATCTTACATTCCTGCTAAACTTACCAATCACAAAATACAACATTCTCAGTAATCCTATTCCCTGGTAATCTTACATTCTCGCTGGTAATCTTACATTTCGTGAACCAAACGCTTATATATTTCATATAATTTTAGTTTAATAGTATTTTAGTTCATGTAAAAATAAATATTTACATTAAAAAATATAAAAAATTATTAAATATTTAATCAAGTAGGGGATCGAACTAACGAATGATAAGTATGTGTTCTCAAATTTTTGGTCTAATTACAATTTAAGTCATTGTAAGTTTAAATATTAGACAAATTAGAAGTTGTCTTTTGAGTTTTGAGTTTTTTTTTTAATTTAGGGTGAATACAAGGTAATATTTGTATAAAGACTTTCAACTATTTGACAATGAGCACTCATACCGCTACATACGTATTTGAACTCGGGACCTCAAGGATAACAACAATCTCTTAATCACTAAGGTCGCTTAATTCATTCTGAATTTCGAGTTTAAATACCTAATAAGTCTTTATATATTTCTTAAATAATCTAATATTTCGATACCTGTCAATATTTAATTTTGAATCCGTCCTGGTCATGCCCTAAAAGAACCTAAATCAAGCTTAGTGGGAGTCATCGAAGACAAAAATTATTCTACTAAACTATTTCAATTTGTTAGGAGGTCTCCATCATAACCCCTTGTTTTATTTTTCTTGTCTTGGACCAAACTACATTAACCCTTGTTATATGAAATTTGTTGTTGATTTTTTTAGGAAATTAAATAAAAATTATATTGAATAGAATTAAAATTGATTTTCCAATTAGATTGGGATATAATACAACTCAACCCAAAACCGCAGACTTTTATCCTTTAATGCAAGGTTTTTAAGTGAAGTTGAGGCGTTTGTGGGTCAAAAGCTGCATGTAAATGAGTTGAATTATTGGACCACAAGTCATAAATAACCTACGTTCACGTGCGCCACCCGAGCGGCAAAGACGGTCCCTCCCTCTGCCTTGTCCTTTTCTTAAACGTGCCATCACTAAAACTTAATCACTCAACAGGTAATCGGGAAAGATGACAATTTACGGAATCCGTTCAGGTGGGCCATTCAGTTAATTGTACGCGGTTAGTTAATTTCAGTTCGGATCGATATAAATTTTATTTAGAATAATTTTTATTTAAGAAGAAAGAGAATACAAAATTACTCACGAGGACTATTGAATCCATGACTTAGAGAGGTAAGGATGTGTAATTAACCGCTTACTCTAAAGATCGATTTAAATTTTAATTTTTTTTTGATTATATAGAATTTATATTTGAATTAAGATTATTGTAATTTTGTCAATGAATAACGAGTAATATTGTTTACGGTAAATGAAAATTAATAATTAAACTAACGATTTGTGATTCATTCATTCTGATTTGGATCGAGTTAAGATCGATTATCCTATAGAGGTATGAGATAGGGTCTTTTGTCTCTCTTTATCCTCGTGTGATACTTTATTATACGTCTTAAGTATTTTATGATTATATATTTATCACATGGTTAAGTTGAATATAGAACTATATAGATTGAGCTTAAACCATTATTAACCTAATATTTTTACTCTATCCAGGTTTAATATGCTCGTATGTTGAGGTTGTGCACTCTCTTTTACAACTTCACATTTTTCATTGATGTTTGTGTTCATCTTGTACTATCTTAAGTTCGACTAGTACAACATGTGCTTAGGGATGGGCATGGGACCAACCCGATTTCATTGAGTCGGGTTTTTTATATATAAAAAAATATAGTTTGTGTTAAGTCGGGTCGGTTTTTTTAAATGTGATGTTTGGTCTGGACGGATTCGGGTTTAAGGTGAAAAATACTCGACCCGACCCGAAAAAATATATAATTTTACTTTATATATTTAGAAATAATTACAATAATACCCTTCCAGATATTTTTTTTCAATTAAGTCACTGTTTTTATTGAATAAAAATAATATTTTTTTTATTATTTTCGGGTCAGATCGGGTTTTTAAGTTATATATCGGGTCGGAGTCGGGTCGGGTGAAATTTTATTTTGGTCGGATCAAATCGGTTCTCAGATGGAAGATTCCTTGTTATCGGGTCGGGTAGACCAAAAATTTGACCCAACCCGACCCATGCTCATCCTTACATGTACTCATCTTACTCTCCTTGAATGTTGGATTTTGAAGTTGATTATAATTTAACAACCGAATATATTCATCTGACGATCAGGAATAGATTGAATGGAATTGGCGAGACAATCACCTTCTAGAAATTTTAAATTATTATAATTTAAGTATTTTTTATTTTTTATTAAAATTATTTTTATTTTTATTAAAATTTTTAAGTTTATCTTTCTTATAATTTTATAAATTCACATCTAATATAAAATCATATATTCGTTCTATTTTAAAATAAAAACATTTAAGTAACAAAAGATATACAAAATTTGAAGTATGGAATTATTAAAAATGCAATATTATGTTGTCGGCCACATTAAAGATAAGATGGGAACAGAATTGGGAGCCAATGTTTTCAAACTCAAGTGGACGGTCTGCCATGACTAGTTTTTAATCGAAGTGATGTACATGCAATAGGAAGTAACCAGGTGAGGTCTATCTATCTAGGGCCATGGTCAACAGACATGAGCCCAGGTGCGCCTCCTTATCCTCGTACCCCACCCAGGTCCCTCCAATCTTATGTTCGAACAATTGGGTCCCTTCTTCATTATTGTTTTGCTCATCACACTTTAAATTCACTGATAATTTGTTTATACAAAAATATATATTATTAATAAGTTTTCTAAGTTCAAACAATAACATCAATAAATTTTATTTCTTTAATAAATAATATATTACATTATAATTATTTCAGACTATATAAAACAATCCTACATATTCTAATGAATAAATACGCCTATAAATTATAATTGTCATGATGGAGTTGGTTCGATTGATATGGGTAGGGCTTTAAATGAGACGAGACAGATCGCGAGCTACTCGAGATTGACTCGGTCAAGGCTCGATAAATACTCGGATTGAATGAACCCGACTCGAGCTCGAGCTCGGCTCTAATTCTTAACGAGCCGAAACGAGCTACTTAATACTTGACTCGAAAAGCTCGTGAGCAACTAAAAAATATAATATATTAAGATTTTATTTTTAAAAAAACAAATTATTAATAATATTAACATTTATGTGTTGATTTTTTTAAAAAATAAAGTAAGACTTTCATGTATTTAATGTTTAGGTTCGAGTTCGAGTTTGAGACTTCAATCTATTTAAGTTTAAGATTTTTTTTCATTTCGAGCCTTTTCGAGCTGCTCACTAGCTTCAGTTCAGGATTTCAAGTTTGTGTCGAGTCAAACTTTATTTCAGAGTTTTCGAGTCGAGTCGAGATCAACAATACTCGAACTCGACTTGACTAGTTTACACCCCTATATATATGGGGGAGAAACTTTGAAATGTATAATCATATCTTTTGCATGATTTCGATTGTTAACTCAAGGTGAATGGATCGTAGTTTTCTCCTTCAAGTGGGCCAAACAATTATACACATTAATTTTACTTTTATTTCACGTATAAAATTGACACAAACTTTTACATTATATAATATCTTTATATTCGAATTTATCGAGTGTTTTTCTTTTTAAAGATCTCAGATTCTAACAACTGTATTTATAGAGTACGTGTATAATATCTTTACAACCATACATCTAAATGTTTTTCTTTAAATCCTTTCATTAACTATTATGAAAATTTATGTTTAATATGATTTCTCTGTCGTGATAAGATGATGAATTTCTAGCTCGTTATATTCGTTTTTGAGTTGTTTCGGTTTTAATTTTTCTTTACATATAATCTCTTTCTTTTCTTATCATCTCTATCGTAGTCAGCAACTCTAAACTCTTTACCTTCTATAACAACCACCTCAACCTTCAAATTCATGGACTTGCAAAATGGAACAGCATGTGCAGTGCGTACGTAAGCACGATCGACCAAAATTCATCAAAGCTGTAATGAGAACTAGGTGCATGGGAGTGATGTTGTGCAAAGTTGCCCCCCACCAAGATTTCATAAAAAGGATTTGGCTTTTGGTACAATGTTTAAAAGGTTCCCTAAACATCTCATCAATCTCATTCCGATGTTGAAATCAATATGCAATAACCTACTCCATTATATGATCAATACAATATGGTATTTTCTTTGAAATAATTAGGTAGGAGACTGATGGAGAAAATGTCGAAAATCATATTCATTAACTTACTCCATTATATTTGGTGCTTATTAACTAAGATACGATAGTCGATATATATTAATAACTAAATAAAAAAGAAGAAGAAGAAAGTACTGATTGATGTGTCAAATCTGTGTACATGAAATAGACATTTTCGGGTGCTTCATAGTTTCCTGTCTCCTTGATTTTAATATTCAGACAAAATAATAATAAAATATAGTTTCTCATAATGAGGATATTCTGGTTATGGCTGATCAATATAATTTCGGTTATGGGAAAGTTATTTTTGGTTCTTTTAGTCTACAAAACATGGATTAGGGTTCCTTAATTACATGTATAACTACACAAGTCAAGTGAACAAGTTAGATTTGATTCGAGTCAATTATAAGTTTAAATTCAGATTGATCGAACTAGATTATGTTTTGTTTAACAACTGATATTTAATCTATTAATCGATTAATCTATGATCGGATATTGTATAGACTCATTATGGAAACAATCCTCCTTACCTAGGATGATCCATTCACAACGTCAGAATTTACTTGAAGAATCTAATACTTTATCCTACTAAACTAATCAGTTCTTGGTATAAGTTGGATTTTAAAGTCCATGTCAAAATTGAATGGTTTAGTTATAACTGTTTAGGGTTTTAACTATGAGAAGAGCTGTTGAGATGAAGAGTGGGATGTCTTTGTTCATTGATAAAAACTACTCGATCCTTTGGCTTTCCGCTCTTGCAAATTACAATAATGGAAGCCTTTTGGTTAAAAAACAACAACTTGAAATGCTTGGACAAAGTATTGACCTTAGCCAAAACCAGCATGTTACCGATGGTTACTGGCCAGGTTGTTGTGGTCCTTCATGTCTGTTCTTCAGTTTGCATCATGGCATTCCACGAGTTCAATATGCCCTGGGTTATATATTCGGAAATTCTTCAAAAGACACCCTTGTGGCCCATTTTCAAGGCTCATGTGTTGTGCTCAACAAATCTTTAATGGCAGACCTGCCTCGGACACCCTATGTAAGTGCCATACACTCTGCGGTGCCTTACGACGAGCTGCCAGACAACACGGGACTGTTGCAGAGGGTCATGTTATAATCTAGCTTTCACAAAAGCAATCATGCTCCCTAAAGAACATATTTGGGACCTTTTTGATCAGATTTTTTATAGGCAGGCTGCAGGCATGGTGGTCTCTTCTCTAAGCCATTTCAATCCAACTTTCAATATATGATCTGTAAAGCTCGACAGGTTCATGAACCTTTCACTCATCTGAGTGTGTGATGATGCCTTATCGGCCTTGGTTGATCGTGACTACCCCTATTGATTGAATAGGTCCACACGGCATTGAATTCAAATTGTCATGACAATCTTTCACCAAACAATCAAGAGATGAGGAAATTTCTCTGTTGCACAAATATAGTGTATGTATGCATGTATGGATGCATGCATGGATCTTCCTCCCATTGCCCTATGTTTTCCGTCCAATCTGCTAAATGGTCCTCTGGTTTTACTAATGTTAGGGCGGAATTTAACGTTCGTTTTCTGGTTTTACTGGTGAGTTCGAAATAGTTCATTCGGCCAACAATTAGTCAGCTGCATGTTCTGCATCTATAAACCAAAGGAATCAGCATTTACTAGGAAGCAAACTCGTTAGCAATTTATAAAACAGACAAACATCGTTCGTAACAACGTCTTCGATCCGTGGTTCAAACAGAAGGGATGCATTCAAGTTCTAGGAAGAGCAACCTCCACAAGGTTGAGTATCTCGACCAATACTAAACATGGTTCAAGCTTCCCACCAAAATTTACAGTAGAGATAGCCCCAAAATAATGAAAGATTGATAAGGTAAAGTTTTCGCAAAATATTCTACAACGTGCTTCTCCATGATTCATGACACGTATTCAGTCAGTCACCTTTGCTCCAACCCCAAGCAATATAGCTATCCTGTGATGCAAAGTCCTACAACAACAGTTAACAAGTTCATTTTAACAAGGATATGTTGACCAAATAGTAAAACAAGTTAGGAAAGGATATAACGTACAAGCTGACTCAGGCGGAACTCTGGTGGTGTATCGAGTTCTATGTTTGTTGGGTCATCATCTTCAAGGTTTTGAAACTCCTCCAGATCCTTCTTGAGATGTTCTGCTCCCAGATGAGCATAATCAGAAAGACGGGGATTGCAATCTGGTATTCCATCATTATCATTAGCATCCCTCTTTGGTGACTGGCTCTGAAGGAGCTCATCACAAAGAGAGAGCCCTTCCACTAGCTGTTGTGAATCCAACAAAAACTGTGATTCACCATCCCACCATTTTGAATCTTCCTCGGCATGATTATCATTGTCATTATTATCATCATTATCTAACATCTGGTTATCATGGTTTTCTTGACCAGGTAGCTCAACGTGACTGGAATTTTCACATTCAGCTTGAACTTCATCGGCATGATTATCATTGTCATTATTATCATCATTATCTAACATCTGATTAGCAAGGTTTTCTTGACCAGGTAGATCATCTTGACTGGAATTTTCACATTCAGCTGGAACTTTTTCAACATACTGCATTGTAGGATGCTTTGCTGAAAAATCCTGAGAGAAAGAGAACATCAGAACCTCTTTCAATATGGCCACTTACATCACACAGAGCAAATGAATGCATTACCTCTACCGGTTAATAACCACAATTCGTCACATTACAAATCTCTTAACAAACAATTTTTGTATACTATAGGGAAATAGAAATAATGCCAAAGCACTGACATAAGCTTCTTGACTGAGGAAAGGTAACTGCAGAGAATATGGTCTGAAATATAAGCCTACTGCTTCAAGTAGACAAAATGCAGTCCATGGATGATTACATGGCCGATAGCTAGGAAAACAATAACAAGATATTACCTGAGCAGGGGGGTTGATGCAAGAAACTGCATAGTCCTGTCCTTGGTCATATTCGTGGCATTGCCTCCCTGTTCGTGGAGGGTCAGGTGTCACAGACTTGGGAGTCACAGGATCTACTTTAACAGTCACTGAATCAGTCATTTCAGGTAAATCCGGCTCAGTTTTATCACCCTGTTTGGTTTGTTGCTGTTGCTGCTGATGAAATATTTTAGAAATAACGTACTCCCCGTCTTTTTCATCCTCCTCAGTTCCTAGATGATATTGGTGCATCACCCAGTTAGTCTTCTCCGCTTTTCCACCTTTGGCCGGGGTAATATACAGAACCATAATCTTCTTGCATCCTCTTTGAACACCATCCAACAACACTGGTTTTGTCCTACCAGTCTTATGCCAGCGGACATCACCAAAATCATCTCCATGGATCTTTCGACGTTTCCGTGTTCCAGTATTGTAAGCTTTGATAGCTCGATGAAAGAAGTGGGACACACTTCCATCTTCCCTAACCCCTAAAGTTTCAATTTTTTGAATTAATGCTAGTAAAAAAAGATGCTTAAAGAAAAGAGTAGGGAATATCATTAATCCTAACCAACCTGGTAATTTTTGGGGATGTGTATAACAGATACCATCATCATTTTCAATGGTTGGAATAAATTCATTAATGAAAGGATGGGGTTTTGAATCTTCCACACCAACTTTTGTAAGTAAATGCCATATGATCTCTTGATCAGATGGATCAAATTTGACACCTCGAGGTAACCCTGGCCATTCTTGATTCACCTAGAAACACACACCTTTAGTTTCTGAGTACATTACATGTATCAATTCCCTAATGTTCATGGTTATGAACATTAACCAATATCATAATATTTATGGTTATTAGTAAGTCAAGCAAGAAAATTATCACTTTAACAGTGAAATCAGAACATCACGAGTATTGTTATATGTCCATGAAAACACTTATACTTGGACTTATGATTTCCAAAACAGTTATAATCCACAATATCTCCAACTTTTCATTGAATATAATTGGTATATTAGTAATAAGTCTAGACATCTAATACTAGACACAAACCACATTGCAAGTAAATATCTATATAGATAATTGTAAGACAAAATTTAGCTCCGGTGAGATTAGGATTTGCCAAGATAAAGCAGGGCAAGTAGTTGCAAAACAGAGTTCCTAGCCTGACCGTTGGAAGAGATAGGCGGATGACCTACTTCTGATGCCATATGTAAAAAATTCTTAGCTTCTATAAAGTATAAAGTAGCAGTTTAAGACAATGGCAATTTAACATTTCGTTTTATTGCTTATATCATGTTAAGGTAACCATATGAACCTCGAGAAAGGCCCTGGACAACTATTATAAACTCAATCAGCACAGACAGATATAAGCTTGCTCAACCAATCTCTTTTAGGTACCGAAAACATATAACATAGAGCAATGGAAAAAGAAACTTATACATCACTATTGTCAATAATATGATGGCAATTAGGACAAGATCTGGTAGGGTTGCTTTTCCATGTCGCCCTTTCAGGATCAGATGCACTCCTGATTTTTGTTGCAATCCTGTTACCATCCACCAACCATGTTCTGCATAAAGCATCCAAAAATGAGAAAAAGACGCCACTATTAGTAGTTATGTTATCTATGTCTGTTAAATTTATCGAATAAAAAACCCAGAAAATCCAACATCATCTATATCTGTTACAGTAATCGAATACAAAAAAAAAAAACTAGTCATAAACAAACAATTTGAATGTATTAACCACTGCCCATACTTGCTAGAAAATACCCAGAAAATCAATAAATATGTTTTTTTTTTCAAAAAGGGGGAATTTTAGCTAAGGGTCCAAAGTTGATATAAGGAACTGGTATAAGTACCCAAAGTAATCATTTTTCTTCACAACAGCAAAAGAGAAACGGATGCTAGTCAACTTACCCAGCCATGGATCAATTCTCTCTCGGCTTTCAGTTCTGGTGAACAGGGATTACGAATATTCTACAGAAATATCAACTATTTGTTTCTAAATTTAAAACCGGATAGTGGATTACTACCACTGTTGTGCCTTTTTTTCTGCTTTAGAAATTAAAGAAAAAAACATCTGCAGATAATTAATGGAGGTTTTGTTCTTTAGAATTTTAAAAGAAAAAAGAAATGAAAGTTGTGAAGAGGTTGGTGAAGTGCAGGATTCTATGCGATGCTTTAAAAGAACTTCCGTTGACTATCAACGCCCATCATTACTGCCATTGTTAAGACTTGAAAAGCTTCCTTTTTATTGTGGCTTAATAGTTAATTCCTTCATTATTTTAGCTTACAGTTTAACCCTCGTACTATTTTCCTCTCATCCTTATACGATCATTTTAACCAATCACTTGATTCTAGATGCGGTGAATATTAAAAAATTGGTAAAAAGTCACTTGAAGTCCCTGAACTTTCCTAAAAAATCACAAATTTTATGTGAAAAACTCCTAAATAATATAGAGTGAAAACTACGGGCAAAGGTAGAATAATTTCACTATCGAAAAATAGAAATTATAACTTCTCTCGATCTAATAAAGAGAAAACAATGATAATTCTCTCTTTATAAAAAAGAGAAAAGAACTTTCAATAAAATTTTCTAATTTCTCTAGTATTGGGAGAAAACTAGAATGATTTGGGATGATTTTAAAGCTAAATGAGTTAAAGTATTTATATTTAAAGCTTAAGGTCTAATCTTATAAATACTCTAAAATACATATACCAATTTTTCAACCAAATTACAACAGTAAATTTTGAATTTTACTGTGCCAAATTCGGTGCATTAACGCACCGAAAATTGGCCACTTTTTTTTTTACTTTCAACATCTAGTGATCCGAAAATTATTGCAACTTTCACAGATCACTGGAACAAGTCTTACCCCTGTTCTCCACCTCAAATCACAATCGAATCTACAAATTTGATAACATATTTTTTTTAGTAAATTTATGATTCCCAACACTGAAGTTATGAGCGAGTCTTTGTTATTATGAATAAGTTTTAATTATCAAAATTGTGGAAATAAAATGGAAACAGGGGAAGCGGCGATATATTTGGGGAAGAAAATATACGAAAAAGGGTAAATTGATATTTTATCTATGAATTATTTTGGGTTTACAAAAAAAAACCCATGATTAGTAATTTATCTCTGAAACAAAAGTGGCATTTGTGTAATTTACCCTTTAAATAAAATGGATTAACTACAGTCTTTGTCCCTAAAGTCTCTAAAGTTTTTGAAATTGAAAATTTTTAGAGTTTAGTGACCAAAATAGAAGGGAAAAATAGTTGAGTGATGGATGGTGTAATTTACCCAATTTATGACAACAAGAATTAGTAGAAGGTCAATGACAAAAAGCGTTGGTCAAAGGATTACATTGAGTTCTCTTTTCGAGTTAGAGGGACACATTGATCTAAAAAATAGGACGATGACCACATTGATTTTTTTAAAAGTTCAAGGACCTTGGGTGCCTTTTTGCCAAAATAAATCATGTACCATTTTTTTAAAAAAAAGTCATAAAAATTTTAAAAAATTAAAATATTTTTAAAAAGTATAAAAAATTCAGAATTCATGTTTTGAAACTATATTTAAAAAAATTATAATAGTACGAATAAAATGAGAAAAAAATAATATATGGGTCAAAATAAGAATTAAATTAAGGTATAAGGAGGAAATAGCTATTAAACCTTTTATTTTATTTTTAACAACTTGGGTGATTGATTATGTTGGGCTTGAGATTGAACTTGAGAGAGAGCACAGAACATTGAGATTAAAGCATAAATGGATCATACAACAGTATACTTGTTGGGATGTGCAGCTGGTGTTTCGAGGGTTATAGCATTTCTGGACCCGGACCCATTTGCCATTACCTACCTGCAGTATCCAATAGTAGGCTCAACCATCTCTATTATATAGAAATATCTTTTTTATGACAGGGGAACGCAAACATAAAACACACGTATCTTTGTTTCAATTTATAACTTTTATAAAAAATAATATTTTATTATTATTGAAATTGTTAATAAATTTAAAATGTATTAATATTTTTTTAAACTTGAAACGATATTAAATTTTATTAAAACAAAAGAAGATACAATTTTAACAATGCACTCGATAAAAAAAGAATTTTAGGGACTAAATCCACCCAAAAAAAAAACACTCAAAAGTGCAATATTAGTCGAAACATTCTTTCGAATCTGACGTCCATCATCCATAGTAACTTAATAATTGTCAATAGTACTCCTTTGTCTATATCAAACTAGACGTTTCGGAGATGATGATGGAGTGGCGAGCGAATCGAAACAAACTTACCGGCTGCTTCGCAAACTAGATCTGAATACATTTGCAAACCACCACAAAAGGGAATCTAACCACTGAAAAATATCGACAATCGCAAATCATATACGAGCGACGTGAGAATCTATATACACTCGCATATCTATCACATAGGCAGGCGAACAACATGTCATAGAGCAGAGAAAATGTTCCATAAGAATATAGTTAAAATATGTCAAAAAGACAGTCGAACATAAGCAAAATATGCTAAAACTATGAAATCAAACAAAATAATCTTTTATTCAAAATTATAAAAAAATAAATAAAAACAATAAACTAAAACAAAACTAAAACACAATAATAAAAATAAACACCAAAATTTGACGATCAATATTATATGTAAATTTATTAAATGTAATCATAATTAATATAAACAGATTATATATATTTTTAATTATGAACATGTGTAAAAGATAATTTAAACAACTCGACTAAAAAAACCCGTATCGCTCTCTCTTCATCCCCCTCTCTCTCTTCTTTACGATTTGTGTTATTTTCTATAGATCAAATCAATTTATTCTTCTTTGATTTTGTTTAGTCGATGGATGCATCAGTTTTGATACTGATTGTCGACCGTCGGTTGTCTTTTGTCTTTGTTTCTTTTATGAATAATTATATATTTATGACATGTTTATTTCTGCCTTTGTGGTACATTTATCACTGTCTTTTGGTAATTTTCGGTTTTTGGTCGTTGTTTTCGTTTATCTTTTTTTAAGGGTTGGATTTGACATCTTCACCACTGATCAAGATGGCGCTTATTTATTATCATGCCGATCTTTCCTGCTTTAGACCCTCAAATTGATTTGGATACACGTTTTGCGTTCGCGGATAGTTTTCTCACGTCGCTTGACACTGATTTACGATTTTTCGGTGGTTTTTTAATATCTTCATATTTTTTTGTGGTTCATTAGAACAACCGATCCCTTGTCATTCTTTTATTGTTTGGTTGGAAATTTTGGATCGATTGCCAACGAGGTTTCATATGCTTTGTTGGGGAGGTCATTAGGATACTATTTGTGTTTGTTAGAACCGACCCTTCGGGGGAAAGACCGACTAGTTGCAACAATGAGGTTTTTTTAATGATTTTATGAAATGTTGGGAGTCTTCACTAATCATTTTAAAGTTGCGATTGGAACACCATAAAATTTGGGTGATTTAATAAAATATTTTATTTTTATTAAAACACTAAGTTTGGGGTCTGCGAAAACTAGAAATCAAGTTCAGGAGTCAGTTACGCGTAGAGAAGGGTTAGCACCCCCATAGAACCCAGAAATTAGTACTTAGTTTACTACTCTGTATTTAAAATTTGGAAATTTGGAGTTCGAACGTTATCTAATTTAAAAAATACTACACATGCAAAGTTGAAGAGAATATTCGTTTATTAAGGCCAATAATATTCTCCCTCTAGCATGAATATCGGGGATCAATTATTGGCCCAATAATCGGATATTGCCTCAAGATTAAAAAATAAAGGGGTTTTGGAAAGAATGTTGACCTATTTTGGGAATTACCAATAGTTTCCCCTTTAGCATAATTGCGAGAGTTATACTTAATTCCCTAATAAGTGAACATTTTCTTATATTTTAAAACCAATGCAATCAATCAACCGATTAGGACCTAATTAACTCTAAGAGAGTTAATTAAGGCTTTCTTAACCTAAAGTGTCAAATTGTTTATCCTATTATTTTATTAACCAATTATTGGATTGGATAATTGATTTGAACAATCGAACATTTTCATGCGAAAACCCAAATCAAATAATCCCCTATCATCATAGAACTAAGAAGAAAGTAACTAAAATGAAGGCTTTAATTAACCTAATTAATTGATGTCATTAAAAGTTAAAGGGCTAGATGGTAAAAACTAATGTTAAGAAAATATATCTGTTAACCCTAATTAATCTATGCTATAGAAATTTTAATTTAAAAGTTAAGGGACTAACTAAAGTTTAAGGCCCTGATTATTAACCTAATTAAAAACTAGTCAATTATTGGATCAGATAATCGATTTGGGCAATAGAATATTTTTACACTAAATTCCAAATCGAACTATCCCTTAATTTAAGGACTAGGTGATAAGAACCTAAATTTAAAGCTCTAATTATATGTAAAACTAAGAGATTAATCTAATTAATTAAAGTAAGAAATAAAATTAAGAAAATAAATTTAAAGCACTAAAATAAAATACAAGAAGAATTAATTAACATGCATAATAAAACCCTAATACATCAAATTTATCCATGCAAAATTAAGTAAAAAAACTCATAAAATAAAATAAAGGGATTATTTAATCCTAGATTAAAATTAGAATTAGTTTAACAAAAATGAATATTTTAAGGACTAAATAATAATAAAAATTGACCAGGAACCTAATTATAACTAACGCATGAATTAAAATTGGTGACTAAATTGAAACAAAGCTAAGATTAAACATGCAATGCAAGAATTAAAACAGGGACCTAAACATAAAAACGCTCGCAACTATGGATGACTGAAATAAAAATAGCCCAAAAGTTTTAACTGAAAGATAAAATCGGAAAATGACATCATTAGGGCAAACAAAATTAAATTAAATTCGAAAAGATCCCTACAGGAGACTAAAATGAAAAAATAGGAGAAAGTTGAGGGATTTTAACGCGAATAACCCTTAACCTATAACTATAAAACCCAATCTTACGTATCTCGGGTCAGGAAAT